TAAATTTCCAAGATTTTTACAAGCTGCAGAGTCCAAAACCATGAAGTCTATCAAGCATATTTACCTAGAAGCCAGTAAATCTGAACGAACGTGGTTTTGGCTTGAGATCTGTGGTAAAATGTTCTTATAAACTCTAATCAAAAGGGTGGAAGCTAGAGAGAATTTTCCTCACACTGAGGCATTTTCTTCTGCTTTCAGGTGATAAGAAATAATTAAAAAAGAAATCTTATCTGCTATGTTGAACACTTTTAAAGTGAACCAAAGTCACAATAGTTGAGAAAAGAGTTGGTGGTTTCTATAGCAACGGATTGAATAAAACAGTTAAGGTCATTTTCCTTCTCTTCTGCAAAAAGAGACACACAAAAACACACAAAACGGCCTAAACACAAACACAGAAAAGCCTCCACGGAGGCATTCGGGCTCTTTTCCGCCTCCTCTGAACTTCACATCCATTTTGTTCACATGACAACTCAAAAGCTGAGGCTCCCTTTCGTTTCCCTCTTTTTACCAAAAGGAACAAGACAAAAAAATAAATAAATAACTGAGGTGGACGCTTCAGCCGTGGGAGGCTCTGAAACTTTTATTTTTTTACGGCCATCCCTCTCATACACCTCTGTGGCCTTTGCTCCAGAGTGCCCGGAGTGGAAATTTCCACCTCTGAGCGAGCTCAGGGCCATCGCCTTGACAACGGAGAAAAAAAAGAAAAAGAAAAAAAAGAAAAAGAAAAAAGGAAGAAAAAAAGGAAAAAAGGGAAAAGAAAAAAAGGGAAAAAAAAGAAAAAATAGAAAAAAAGGAAAAAAGGGGAAAAAAAGAAAAAAGGAGAAAAAGGAAAAAAATAGAAAAAAAGAAGAAAAAAAGAGGAAAAAATAAAAAAGACAATGGTGAAGGGGCCTGGTGGTGGCGGTCCAGCACGCCCTCTGCTGTTGAGAAGTCCCCACAGCAGGCGTAATGTCTGAGGATCTGGGGAAAGTTCTCCCCAGACCTTCTGATGCTCGGGGGATATTCTCCAAACAGAAAAAACACCTGAAACTGACACTGACCCGTAAAAGATAGATTACTCTGTTTTAAAATGGCCGACAGCTCGAGATAACATCCCGACCTATCAGTTGTGGATAAATGGGTATTTATGGTGCTTGTATTGTAGTGCATATTCACATGTGTATTTAGTTTGATTATTTGAGTCAAAGTCACTTCCAAAATGATGAGTTTCTTTCTTTTTTTTCTTTTTTTTTAAACCTGTTTGTAATCCCTCCGCTTGAGGCCCGGATCCAGCTCACCACAGAGGTCCCAGTCCAGTCAAAATCAGAGTCTGTTCTCATGAAA